ATAAGCCACAGACTGGGAGAAAATATTTGTAAATCATATATCTCATTAAGGATTTATATGAAGAACATATAAAGAACTCTCAAAACTCAACCATAAGAAAACCAACCAACAAAAATAAATAGAAAAAAAAAAAGAGTCCTTTGCCAAAGAAAATATGCTAATGACAACTAAACAAATGAAAAGATGCTCAATGTCATTAATCATTAGGGAAATGCAAATTAAAATCACAATGAGATCTCACTATACCTATTAGGACAGCTAAAATAAAAAATACCAAATACTACCAAATGCTGGTGAGAACACAGAAAAAGAACACTCACGAACTGCTGGGAGGAATGCAAAATGGCACAGCCACCCTAGAAAACAATTTATCAGTTTCTTACACAGTCCACATACCCTTACCATATATGACCCAGAAATCCCACTCTTAGGTACTTACTCAAGTGAAACAAAGTCTATAATTACACAAAAACCTGAATATAAGGCTTGTAGCAGTTTTTTCTCAGGTAATCACCAAACACAGGAAACAATCCAAATGTCCCTCACCTAGGGAATAAACAAACTATGGTGTATCCACACAATGAAGGAGTGCTCAGCAACAGAAAGCAATGAACTACTGACATACAGGCCATGGATAAACTTCAAATATATTACCCTGAGTGAAAGAAACCATTTTCAAAGGGCTACATACTCTAGCTATCCATTTATATGACATTCTAGAAAAGGCAAACGGTGTGAGTATAGAGAACAGATCAGTGGTTCACAGGGCTTAGCAGCTGGGGGACAGTCTGAATGCAAAGCAGGGGCACAAGGGAAGTACCGGAAATTGTTCTATATACCATTCGTATAGGTTATAAGATCCTATTCAATACATGTGTAAAGGTTCAATAAATTGTATACTAAAAAAGTGATTTTTAACTGTATGTAAATTCAAAATGTTTAACTCCCCTCAAAAAACTTAAAATATTAGCCCTCACATCTCTTCCAAATTAGCAAGAAAAACACTACCTATAAGAAGGTGAATCCCAAAAATCAACAGGTTTTGACGAACTTCCTTAAGCTAAAAATACATACACTTCCCTCAGTAAGACTGCGCTCCTGCGATGCCCTCCTTCATTCCCTCACAAAGGGTCCGCTGGAGAAAAATGGCGCTGCCTGCAGTCAGCTTCCCACCTCACCTGAACCCTCAGGTGTCCTTCACTAGTTCCTCCTCCACAAAGAAGCTTCTAAGCTTCCGCCAGACATCTTAACGCCCCTCAAACTGCTCTTGCCTCCCCTCATTCTCAGTTTTAAAAAATCTTACCTCCTGCTTCATGGGAAAAATAATAGTCAGGTGATGACACCCCAAAATGCTCTTCCCTCCACCTCTCAACTTACCTCTAGGAGAACAGAATACCTCCTTACCTCCTTTGTTTCTGTACCCGAAGCATTAAGTGTCCTCTCTAATGCCAGTATCAGTCACCTCCTCGCGGGTTCAAACTCTCCATCCCTGCGGCCTCCAGCCCCTCCACTGTTCCCATTCTCTAGCCCCCTCTGAAGCCAATATATCAACAAATACTCGGGAATGTCTCAGATCCTGCCAGGGTCTGGCTTCTCACTGCCACTGTCTCAGAGAAAGCCCTTCCCACCACTCCCCTGCCCTCCAGCAACAGCCTGCCTCTCCACTGTCTGGTTTCCCTACTTCAGTCCCTGGTACCAGAGTAGGTTCCCTAAGTGCAAAGCTAAGCATATCACTCTCTATTTAAAAATCTCTCTGGACCACCTACTACGTCAAGATACTATCTAAAGCCACGGTTAGGCTTACGAGTGCCTTTGCATTTGGAGCCCATCTCTCACCTCTCCCTACATACCTGCTGCCTAATACGTCCACCCGCCAAGGGCCGCGTCTCTGCCAGTGACCTCTGCGCCATTCCAGCAACACTCCAAGCCCGGACATGTTTCCACATCCTCTCCACAGGCGGTTCCCTCTGCCTGCAGTCAGCTAAACGCAGCTCAAATGGGACTTCTGAGGAAAGCCTGCCCGGCTCGGCCTAGACTCCTGTGTTCCGTTCTCAGGGTGCCCTGCTCACACCTGTGCAGCAGCATTCACCGTGCTATTATTTTTTGTACACATCTTGTGTATTATTTACATGTCTTCCACCATCTGTGAGATGTTCCTGGAAGGCAGGGCCCATGACTTACACATCGTGGTGGGTACCTGGCACATTATGTGGCACGTTATTAGAAGCCAAAGAATTGATTCGTAAATAAATGCTAACAAAAGAGAATAATGTCCCACTTTAACGTGAGACTAATCATTTTTTAGAAGATTCTGTTCTGAGTACCAAATAGATCTTCTAGAATAGAAATAGTATATGGCCTTAATTCTATTTACCCTAACTGGTCATCCTACCTTCTGCATCACAGTAGAAGAAACGTATTTTCAAATATAAGACTTGGTTAAGTCAAATTTTATTTAAATCCATTTTCTGATTGGTTAGTTGGCTTAGGGGTGTTTGGTTGGTTGGTTTGCATTCCTACAATAACTAACTGCATTCCTATATAATTACACCTGTTGCGTACTTGGTGATGGAGGGCTATGATACCACTGCAGGATATTAGACCATAAATCTAAGAAGCAACTATTCAAATGGATGAAAAGACAAATGGAAACTCCCAAACTCAGAATGTTAAGCACAGCTCTAGCCTAGGAGTACTCCCAGTCTTAAACAGTGCATCCTGCCCATGTGCTCAAACATTTACCTGAGAGCACCCATAGATAAAGCTAAAACAAAAAGATTTCTAAGAAGCACTAATTCACAGTAAATCCTTTGACACACACGGAAGATGTTAACGTTTAATGTTAGGGAAAACTGAAACTCAACAGTTGAAAAGACTCCCTCAAAGTCATAAATTAAGCACAGAGCTCAGATTAAAATTCTGAAATCCCTAGCTCTCAGACCCATTATACCTGACTTCTTGGCCATTTACATAAACGTCAGCAATATCTCCAACTAATAAAGACATATTCTGAAAAGTAGAAAGGCAACTGGAATTGCTATAATGACACACACAAAAAGTGGAATACACTTTTTTTAAAAACACAACAAAGGGTCAATGTGACATTGGGTAAAAGCTAAAAATCTGCATCTCCTTATTCCTTATTTATTCTCCAACAAAATTAAGGAAAGCAGAAAGGAAAAAATTAAATTACCATTTTAAACCTTCAAGGAATTCTTGCTACACAAATTACATCTTATAAACAAACTATATCTACTTCGTTCCAGCTAATCAGTTTTACCACTACTTAAAACTGTATCTTATGTCTCGTGTGCCTACTAATCACATAAACTACTTCAAAAGTAAAAAAAAGAACTCAATTGGGTAACTCTTGCTTATAGTTATAATCTATATTTGATCACGTCTTCTATTTAACTCACTGGCACTGCCTTTTTTTAAACCTATTTATATGTGGACACCTATCAAAGGGGCTAAGGCCTACTCACGGTGCTTAGCCGTCACAGGAGGCAGCAAAGCAGAAGCCACAGATATTAAAAGACCTGGGGAGAAAAGCCTCCTCACATACATCATGCCCCCTGCCAAACACAATAAACGTATTCCTAGAAGTTGCAAAAATCAATTTTGCTCAAACCGTATTTTAAATGTATGGTGAGTGATTCCAGAAAATTTGAAATACGCCCCACGGTAAATCAGAAAGTTTTACAGGTGCACGTGATGCCTGGACAGTTACCAGAGCACTGATTGGGCCTTCCCTGATGGTGCCAGGAGCATGCTGTGTGCTTTACAAACATTTCCCAGTCATCACGGTGGGAGACAGGCACTACTATTTCATGGCCATTTCCCAGAGGAGGAAGTCGAGGCTTAGCGGAGTTAAGTAACTGCCCTAGAGTCAGTCCCAGGGAAAGGGGTAGCTGGGCCTGGACACTGTGTGCCACCGTCGTGCACTCCAGGCTGCAGCCTGACCACTATGCAGGGGCTCCTGTCATTTCCGCTCGCCTTTTCTACCTTATTTTTACCCATCTTTGAATATAAAGGACAAATAATAAAGCAGCCACACAAGGATCAGAATAAAAGCTGTTCGTCTGTAGTTGTGTCTGTAGTTCTCCGAACACTGAACGCGGGGACACTCGGTGGCTCCCGCACGCATGCCGCGGTGCTGGGCCAGGCCTTCCCGAGCGCTCGGGCGTCGAGACAGCCGCCCACACGGGAGCCAGCACACCGGGCCTGCCCTAACTCCGGGGTCGCCCATCCTGTCCTGGGAGGAACTTCCCTTGTCTGAGCGGCGGGCGCGGGGCGCGGGGCCTGCGAGCCCGCGAGGCCACGGCCGCTTCCCTACCTTGTCCAGGACACACATTTCTCCTCCCCGGCCGCCACCCTTGCGGTCGGATCTCGGGACCGCGTCCTGTGGACCAGCTCCATCCAGCCAGCAAACTTTACCCAGAACTTTCCCCGTCCGCGCCAGAACTGGATTTCACCCACAAGTGGAAGAGCGGCCGTCCGCGCCCAGGGCCCTCCGCTGCCCCCCCCACCCTCAACCCGCAGCGGGGCACGCGCCCCACAGGCCTTGCGAACGGACCCAAGGCCTGCGGGGCGACGCCCCTCCCCGAACGGGCCCGCACGGGAGGGGCGGCAGCCGCCCCGCGCAAAATTCCACTCGAGAACCCGGGTGTAGGGGCGGGGCGGAGAAATTCGGAAAATCAAGAACCTGGCGCCCCTACATGCAAGCTTTCCGGTCGGCCGCCCCACCGCCGCCGCCGCCGCCGCCGCCGCCGCCACAGAGAAACGGTTTCAAATCCTTGCGAGCCGCCGAGGTCGCCGCCGCCCTAGCAGCCCAGGGGCGGGGACTTCCGCGCTCTCATTCCCCGCCCCCTTCCCACCCCGGCGGTCGCGGCCTGCGCGCCACGCCGTTGTCATGGCGACGCTCCCGGCAATTCGGAGGCGGGACTTCCGTATTCGTTTTCTCGCCCCCCGGGTCGCGGTGAGCGCGCTGCGCCGTTGCCATGGCCACGGTCCCGGGTGCAGCGCAGCCTCCAGGCTGGCTGGGTCCCAGGCGGAGGTTCCCAGGGTAACCCCGACCGCTGTCTGCACACTGCTACCCTGGGTCATCCAGCGAGGAGAGTAGCTTGTGAACACTTTGGGGGTTGTGGAGAAGAAACAGGGCAAGGATAAAGAAAATGGAATCGCTGGAGGATGTTCACAGAAGGGTGTGCCCATTTGGACAGACGTCATTGAGTGTACAGAAGTGAGAATTTACTGCCTGGTATCTCACAACCCAGAGGTGAATGAGGTCGGATTAAACGGGGAAAATGAGCATTAGCTTGTTTCTTTTTTTTTTTTTTTTGCATTCACAACTATCCGAGGTCTAAAGAAACTGGACCCCAAATTCTGAAGATGCTGAAATAAAATAAAGGGTTTTCTGTTAACCAATTCTGTGTAGAATAGCAAGATCAAGTGGGAAAATGTGATTTTGCTACTCCCAGGAAGTCTCAACCACCTCAACGGCAGTCTCCATGTCTGTGTAGCTATGTTGTGATATTTTTTGGTCTTCTATTACATTTCTGGAAAAGCTCTGAAGTATATTTATTTAAATACCAGGCAGAGACAAAATTTAAATCGTAAAAACACTCACTTAAATGAAATTCAGTTTACCACTGTTTTTCATCTAATTTCACAACAGGATTCCTTCGGCAGTATCTCTGCAATACACTCAGTGTGATGCCAAATCTAACATAAGCACAGCTTGAAGCATCTTTTCAGTTTTCCATAAAGAAAATAGAAGATTCATTCATTTGTAACTAGTTACTTTCAAGCTTCCAGAGGGTAAGTCGTATTCTCTCCAAGGTGCTTTTTCAAACTAACCCACCAGAATTAAGCACCAACAGTTCTTCATTGTTTCCATGACAAATTATGAAGGCTAAAGGAAGGAAACGGTATGAAATGCTTTTAGAAATTAGTTTTCCAAAGCATATTTGAACATGTTTATAGCTAAAGAATGATCAGTAATCCAGATCACTTGCACTGAGATTCAGGGATGCAAAACCCATGCAAGCAATTAATTGCAGGAATTTGACCACTCAGTGAAGTTCAAAATATATAACCACATTGCAGGGAGAACATGAAATGAATTTTTGACAACTGATGTCTAAATAAGAATGAGCAAAAAAATGGAAGATGAAAAAAGGGGTCAAGGGAAAAAAATAAAGTCAAGTTCATCTGAGAGGAAATAATTGTAGAGGAAAAATACGACTGAAAGTAAAAAGTAATAGTTAAAAAATTAAGAAAGTAAACTTCTTAAGTATTTTCCCTAATTAAGTGAAAGAAGATAAGAAGATAAGAAAATCTCCCTTTCCACTTTTAAGAACTAGAAGACTGTCACTTTTTTCATTTAAATAGTATATTGACCCTTGAACAACAGGGGTTGGAACTGCATGGTTCCACTTGTACACCAATTTTCTTTCCATAAATACAGTAGTATAGTCCTGTTAATGTTTTCTCTCTTCCTTATGATTTTCTTATCTCTAGCTTACTTTATTGTAAGAATACAGTAAATGATACATGTAACATACAAAATATGTGTTAATCGATTGTTTATGTTATCAGTGAGGCTTCTGGTCAACAGTTAGCTCTTAGTAATTAAGTTTTGGGAGAGTCAAAAATTATACATGGATTTTCAACTGTTCAGGAGTTCGGCCACCCTAATCCCCATGTTGTCCAAAAGTCAACGGTACATACACATATATTTACGCAAACAAAAATATTGTTATGATATGCATGGAGGTTTTTAGTGTTATTTAAGTTATAAATATGAAGCTGGGATACCAGTTTGAGACTAAGCTTTGTTCACCTTAGGATTCAAGCCTATACATCTTATTGAGAGGTCTGGTGGAAAATGTAAAGAATCTCCTTACATGAGAACTAAGGAACCCCTAGGAAGTAATTCATCCTAAGAGATGGTGAGCAGGTCTGGGTCAGTAATGATACAAACATTAAAGGAGAAGACAATTCTCCATAAAGCACAGTACTGGCCTTGGAATGGCTTCCAGCTCTCCTCCTCTTGTTGTAACAGAGTAATTCCTAATCTTTAGAGGTAAGGAACGTCCTTCAAAAATCTTAAAAAGTTATATCCCTCCTCCCTTACTCCTCCACCATCAAATGCGCCCATGCCCAAAAATACGCATAAAAATCAAAGGGTTTCCAGAATTCCTGAAGCTCACCCATAGAGCCTAGGTTAAGAACTCCTGTGTGTGGATTTTATACCCATTTAAACACAGAACGGAAGCCATAACCAGCATTTCTGAACATAATTTCTGAAGGTAGCACACTCAGTACAGACAACATTGCCCCTAGCAGTAGGCTCCAGCAACCTCAGGGCGGGCATCAGTAAAAAGTAGCAGCAGCAGGGATGCCTTCATCAAGCATCAGAGACAAGAAGTGAGAATAACAGCATGCTCACAGCTACATGCACTTAGAAATAAATGATGCACAGCGCATGGTAGTTTAGTAACATACAGAGCATGCATGAGACCCATCCTAGAGACCTTCATTAATATTCGGGAAGAAATGGCTGGAATCAGAGTCTATTCAGGGACCTCAAGGGTAAAATCAGATAAATACTCTTTTGTGACTGTTGCAGTATAGCCCCAAGCTTATGTGGCCTGAAAAATACCGTTTCACGTAAACCTTTTATGGCCAAACACCTATGGCAACCAATTAATAGGACTTCTATGTCTGGTTATCTTATAAAGCATAATAATTTTTTAGCTCAAAATATATTTATTGAATGCTACTAGGTGTCATTGAACATCTAGTATGTATCTTTAGGAAATGTTTCCTCTACCAGGAAATGCTCTAATACCTTGCTTTTCACCTTAGCTTAAAGGTCACTTACACATAGAGGCCTTCATTGATTCTTTTTTTTTTTAAGATTTTATTTATTTGACAGAGAGAGCACAAGCAGAGGAAGAGAGAGGGAGAAGCAGGCTCCCTGCTGAGCAAGGAGCCCGATGTGGGACTCGATCCCAGGACCCTGGGATCATGACCCGGGCCAAAGGCAGCCGCTTAACCAACCGAGCCATCCAGGCATCTGGGCTTCATTGATTCTTAATCCACCCCTTATTCTCTTTCAAAACCCCTTGTTCCTTTTCTCCATTGCATTTATCAAAATTTGTAATCAATTATTAATTAATATTAACAATCTTTTTCAAATGTTTGTAGGCCCCATAAGCACAGGAACCATATATGCTGTGCTTACCATTGTAGACCCAGCATCTTGCAGAGTACCTGCCACTTAGAGACAATCCATAAGTATTTATTGAATCAAAGAATGAAGGCAGATGGGTCTTTTGTGCTTTTCTCCGCACCTGTGGTAGAACATGGCCACCCTTAACTTCCTAGTTTACAAAGCTTCCATTCAAGAGGCCCGGAAGACTAACTTTTCTGTATCCAAATTTCTTTCTGGGAGAGTGCACCTGATTGGTCTAATTTGAATCAAGTAAGAATGCTTAATCAGATCAGCTGTGGTCAGGAGATGGGGCATCCCACTGTATAAACATGACTGTATTAGCTCACCTTTGTGCTGAAGGACAGGAATTGGGATTCCTTCCTCAGAGAAGGGGACTAAGGAGGTACGGCAAATGGTTCCAACTTCAACAAAGCTTCAGGAGTTGTGAGAACAAAGATGAGTTTCCACCCTCCAAACGTTTAAAAATATAGTAGGAGGTAATAAGACAAACACCAAATAACCACATTTGGAGTCAGATTATGTCACCTGGCTTAAAGGTATATATATAATATGTAATGGGAATAGAGGGAAGATAAAGCAAACACTATATAATGATTATAAAGTCAGGATATGAAAATATATACTCAACCTTGTTTTAGCTTTGGCTTTAGAAAGGTATTGAAATTGAAACATTATTCCCATTGAAAATATTGTTTCAAAAAATACATATTATTTCCTATCAGCTGCAAATGATTTTTAAATGAAAGAAGTTTGATATCTTTAAATAAATAAATAAATAAATAAAAATAAAAACAAGTAACATTTTACCTCAATTTTTAAAAATCCAACGGTAACACAGCTGATAATAGAGCATGAACATGATAGTAAAAACATGACCGTAAAATGTAAATTGTTAAATTGTTTTTCTTTCCTGTGTGGGAAGTTGATTATGCTATACTTCTCATGTTGAAAGCTATCTGTTTCTTTTCAAAATATAAACTTAAAACTGAGAGATTAGTCTAGATAATACTGAACCATGTGAATTCAATTATTCCCTACGTAAGACATGGGAAAATGTGACCTTTTGCTAATTAGGAAGATAATAATTATTCATACATAGTTTGAACTGGGCCTGCATTTTGTTGTATTAAATCTGATGAACTCTGTATTTTAAACTCCTGCTCTATAAAATTATAGTAACTATAGCACAGACCTGGACCTCCATTTTGTTTAAGCCACTGTCATTTGAATTTCCTGTCTTATAAACTCAAATGTAAACCTGATTACTGTAAGTTACATCTCTTAACTTGAAGTTATATGCATGTAAATCTTACATATTTCCTAAAGGCATTCTTTTGATACCTTAATTGCCCTAAAGATTCATACCAAAAGTAGAAGTCTGTACTAATAAATACAAAACGTGAGTTACAAAATATGATTATTCCATTTTACATACTTGCCAGACACACAAAGAAAGGAAAATATGTAAGACTACAAGTCAAATGTGGACAGCAGTTCTCTAGGTGAAGCAATTAAAGGTATTTTAAGTTCTGTCAATTTTACTGTCTAAATATCCTCAAATCTCTCCAAAAACAGCACTCTTTTGGAAAAATTGACTCAGACACAACATTTTGAAATTTACTCTGTTTTTCTTCCCTAAAACTTTTTTGACTAAGGGCTTCAACAACTTCAATGTGAATTTATCCGGTCATTTGAAGAACTATGAATAATAAACATATAGAAAAGAAAGTACAATACCTAAGAACAAATGTTAGTGAACTTGGATCACTGCAGTGGATTAGCAGGCAGTTATTCCCTCTTACTATCAAGAGTAATAGGGGCACCTGGGGGGCTCAGTCATTTGAGTGTCTGCCTTCGGCTCAGGTCAGGATCCCAGAGTCCTGGGATCAAGTCCCACAACAGACTCCTTGCTCAGCGGGGAGCCTGCTTCTCCCTCTCCCTCTGTTACTCCCCTGCTTGTGCTCTCTCTCTCTCTCTCTCTCTGTCAAATAAATAAATAAATAAATAAAACCTAAAAAAAAACAAAAAGAATAACCAAAAGTTGGGAAACCTGGGTGGCTCAGTTGCTTAAGCATCTGCCTTTGGCTCAGGTCATGATCCCAGGATCCTGGAATTCAGTCTCATGTTGGGCTCCTTGCTCAGCGGGGAGCCTGCTTCTCCTTCTGCCTCTGCCTCTGCCTCTGCTCACACTCTCTCTCTCCTCTAATCTCTCAAATAAATAAATAAAATCTTTAAAAATAATAATAATCAAGAGTTTCCTGTAAAGAGAAATTAAACTGTTCTTCCTAGACTGAGACTTTTGAATTGTTTTTTTAATCAGATTATAAAATTTTAATGGTATTACAGGGAAATTGGCAGACACTGAAAGGTTTCAAGAAGAAAATAAAAAGTTATGTGTAATCCTATCATTAAAGAATAACCACTATTAATAATTGCATATATTTTCTCAAATCATGTATGTGTGTGTGTGAGTGTGCATGTGTAATTATTCTACTGTCTCCTTATTGCTCCATCATTTCAATGCAACAAAATTTGCTTAATTATTCTCCTGTGATTGGCTATGTAAGTTATTAGCAATTTTTGGCTCTTATAAATAATATTACAATAAATATATTTTAATATGTACATCTTGGTTGAAGTTTCAGCTATCTCCATAAAAGATATTCCTATGGGCATAAAAAATTAAGGCTTTTGATCAGTACTGTCAAATTGCTTTCTAGGAGTGTTTTATAAATTTGCAATCCCACCCAACGGTCCCTGAGAGTGGCTGTCTCACATTAACAATTTTTCTAATCTGTGCTAACTGTATATAAAAACAATCCTCTTTAATTTGCGTTTTCCACTATTAGAAACATTGAAATATTTTTAAAATCTCAATCAGTTTTTTTCGTTTTATTCATTTGCAAAGGGTCTCTTTAGCCCTTTGTCCATTTTTCTAGAATTTGACATGATGTACATAACTTCCATATTTTGATTTATTGTTTCAAAACCAGCAATGGCTCTGTACACAGGATTAGCATGGGCTGATACTCTAATCAAATTTCAGTTGATTCACCATTTTGCATTATCCAGATAGTCTGTATCATTAGAATGAAATAAATGAATGGCTCTCGGCTATCTAAATGGAAAGCAATTTATAAATACCAAGAATATTTACTCTTATGTAAACACATTAGAGGTAGATATCCAAGATAATCCTGCAGCCAGCAAATTCCTTAAATTGGATAGGAAATGATTCAGAACTTCCTATTTTCAGGTCATAAAATATAAATTATAGGACAAAAAATAGATGCAGTATAAAGAGAGCAGGAACAGAATTGTGAGGCATATTTCCTTTTCTTCACTAATAAAAAAAGGAAGAAAAAGAGTTAGTACCTTTAATACAATGATGCTAGATTCCATCCCTATGCCGGAACTAAGCTGCACTCAACATTCTATCCCTATCCCAGTGGCTTGCTCTATCCTGCCCTCTTGGGCAATCCATACTGGAGCTATCAACAGAGAGAAACGGCTCTTCTCCCCTTCAGTAGTATGCATATGCCCTAGCCAGTGTGCATACAAACTGGCAACCACTTGCCAGGGTACTTTATAGCCTCACCTATACAGAAATCTCTCCACTAATGTTTCAGCACTCCCCCTCTAGGCTGTGAAATTCTAACTTTAGATTTCAATCATTTCGACAAAGCCACCGGGAAAATTCATAGCTAAATTAGCAGCGTGAGAATGGTAGAAAAGACATAATTCTGAAACTTGGATAAGTGTCACTAGCTTTGTGACTCAGGTCAACAAAGTGACATAACCTCCCTGAGCTTGAGTTTCTTTACCTTCCTTATGGCATAATTGGGAAAATAAAATTAACGAAGGTGAGATATGTGGGAAACTGCCCGATGCTTGATACAAGGAGACTTGGATATCTTTTCATTCCCAACTGTTTTTGCAAGCGCTTTTTAAAAGTAATAGATGCCACTAGGAGGCAGCATTCGCCCACAAAGAACTATTTCCTTCACACACCCACACATTCGTGTACAAGCGTCCATGGCATATTTGCACACACACTAACACACACATGTTCATGTCAACCCATACATCTCACATTCACACACACACACACACATTCATATGCACACGTACATCACACATTCGTGCACACACTTGCACACATCCCAGGCGATTTTCGTCTTTCTCTGTTTCTTGTATCTTTTTAATCTTTCACTTAGGGATTAAGGTGGGGAATGACCCTCTGGGTAGATGGGAAATTTCACCGATGAATATCTGTTATTGAGTTTGGGGCCTCAGAAATGAGACCCTATATATTGAAAGATTATTGATCAATGCCTTAGAAATGAAAGAATTCATCTTTATGCTCTAAACCTCTTGCAGATGTATAGGACAGTGTGAGAGAAAAGCTAAAACACGGACAGCTTTGCATGTAGAAGCTCAACAGCCACAGTCCAAGAGAAGAAAGCTGATCGTTGGGAGGCACAGACGGGGACCTCCTCATCTTGAAAGAAGTCCTCCTTGGCCATATGCCGCTTATAACGTTGGTTGGGTCTGCAGTTGCTAGTTACTTACTATCACATAACATGGGAAGACAAATCCAGCCATGCTAAAATATAGGATGATAACCAGCTCCTGAGCCAGTTTCACTCTTTCTCCATCTGACTGCCTGTGGGAGGAGGAAAGAAGTACTTCCTGGTCTGTCCGCTGTCAGGAGAGATCACCACACACCTACGGGGGAGAAGATAGCTGAATTTTAATGCTGGGCAACCTGATGACCTAAGCTTTTAAGAAGGAAAACATTTGGGAAAGAGAATCTACCTATGTCACTAAATGGACCACCAAATCATGAAATAGAGGGCTGCGACTGGGCAGTTTCTACTGATGGGGCCTTCTAATCCAAATTGCCACAGTAGCAGATTTTTCTTTCTATAAAAATATCATCAAATTAGAAGACTCGGTACTATGGCCTAAGCTTCAAAGTCTATTCTGATTAATTTTTCAGGGATCCAATCCTATCCAGCAGCCTGAAATGCCTTCCAATGAACAAAATGGTGCAAAAGGCCATCCTCACCAAAGCTACCATGTTCTAAGAGCTTCTTTGTGGAGCAGGTTAAGGGAATAGGAGGTAGAGAGGTACTGTAGGTTTAAAATAGGAGTGCTGGGCTAAGGAACCTTTGGCACTGTGAACACCTGATGCTACGAACAACAAGCATGAAGCTACAGTTATCAAGAAAGTGTGTATTGGCAAAATAATAGACAAATAGGACAATGGAATAGAACAGAGAGCCCAGAAATAGACCACCATGAATACAGTCCACTGATATTTGATAAAGAAGCAAAAGCAATTCAAAGGAGCAAAGATAGTCTTTTCAATAAATGGTACTAGAACAACTGGACATCCATATGCAAAAAGATTAATCTAGAACACAGACCTTACATCCATCATAAAAATTAACTTAAAATAGATCATAGACCTAAATGTAAAATTAAAAACCATAAAACTCCTAGAAGATAACATAGAAGCAAATCTAGATGGGTATGGCAATGCCTTTTTTAGATACAATGCCAAAGACACGATCCATGAAATAAATCATTGATAAGCTGGACTTCATTAAATCTGCTCCACAAAAGACACTATCAAAAAGAATGAGAAGACAAGCCACAGACTGGGAGAAAATGTTTGCAAAAGACGTATCTGAGGAAAGATTGTTATCCAAAATATACAAAGAACTGCTAAAACTTAACACTAAGCAACTCACCTCAAAAAAAAAAAAAAAAAATGGGGCAGGCACCCACCAGATCCCAAGGTTTCCGCGCCGGAGCCCGGCGAGCCCGCCAAGGGGAAGCCCTTTAAGCTCCTAGGAATTATAGATGTTGAAAACATTCCCTGTGCACGGGATTCACCACTGTATGGTTCATTAGGATCTGTTGTGGCTGGCCTTGGACATTTTTTGTTAACTAGTAGGATTAGAAGATCATGTGACGTTGGAGTAGGAGGATTTATCCTGGTGACTTTAGGATGCTGGTTCCATTACAGGTATAATTATGCGAAGCTAAGAATCCACGAAAGAATTGCCAGAGATGGAATTAAAAATAAGATTTTGTATGAAAGTACCCACCTTGACCCCGAAAGAAAACAAAGCCCCAGCAAGAGCAGCAGTTGAGCGGAATCATGCTTGAGAATACAACTCCATGGAGTCAGTGTGAATAAAATGGAGGGCAACTCAGTTAAACCTCATACGTACCATTAGACTTTCAATCAAGTAAATAAAAGATGTGTTGGTTGTAAAAAAAAAAAAAAATGGGCCAATGGCTTTAACAGACAGCTCACCAAAGCAGATATATGGATGGCAAATAAGCATATGAAGAGATGCTCCACATTCTTAATCTCAGGAAACAAACTGAGGGTTGCTGGAGTGGTTGGGGGTGGGAGGGAGGGGGTGGCTGAGTGATGGACATTGGGGAGGGTATGTGCTATGGTGAGCACTGTGAATTGTGCAAGACTGTTGAATCACAGATCTGTACCTCTGAAACAAATAATGCAATATATGTTAAGAAAAAAAAAAGAAGAAGAAGATAGCAGGAGGGGAAGAATGAAAGGGGGGGAAATCAGAGGGGAAGACCAACCATGAGAGACGATGGACTCTGAAAAAACAAACTGAGGGTTCTAGAGGGGAGGGGGTGGGGCGATGGGTTAGCCTGGTGATGGGTATTAAAGAGGGCACGTTCTGCGTGGAGCACTGGGTGTTATGCACAAACAATGAATCATGGAACACTACATCCAAAACTAATGATGTAATGTATGGTGATTAACATAACAATAAAAAATTTTTTAAAAAGAATGATCAAAATAAAAATATTTATAATGTATGTGAGAAGAAAAAAAGAAAAAAGAAAAGATGCTCCACATCAGAGAAATTCAAATCGAAACAATGAGATACCACTGCACACCCATTAGAATGGCCAAAATCCAGAACACCGTCAACATCAAATGCTGACAAGATGTGGAGCAATAGGACTTCTCATTCATTCCTGGTGCGTGAGCAAAATGGTACAGCCACTTTGGAAGGCAGTTTAGTGGTTTCTTGCAAAACTAAACACAGTCTAGGTGAAATAGGTAAAGGTGGCCAAAACTTACTTCCAGTAATACAATACACACATCCAGTTGTGAAATAAACTAAGTCCTGGGGATGTAACATGTAGCATGGTGATTATATTTAATAATACTCCACTGTATAGTATATTAGAAAGTTGCTAAGGGAGCAGATCTTAAAAGTTCTCATCACCTCAGAAGTTCTCATCTCATCAGAAAAAAATTGTAACTGTGTGGTGATGGATGGTAACTATACTTATTGCGGTGATCATTTCATAATATATTTATGTCTCAAATCATTATGTTGAACATGAAATTAATATAATGTTATATGTCAATTACATCTCGATAACAACAAACATATTCTTACCGTATGATCCAGCAATCGTGCTCCTTGATATTTACCCAAAGAAGATGAAAACTTATATTCACACAAGAATCTGCACACAGATCTTTATAGCAGCTTTATTCATAATCACCCAAACCTGGAAGCAACCAAGATGTCCTGCAGAGCACAGAGGACTTTCAAGGCAGTGAAAATACTCCCTACGCTGGATATACGTCATTATACTTTTGTTCAAATCCATAGAATAGACAACACCAAGAGTAAATCCTAAGGTAAACTTGGGGTGATGTGTCAGTGTAGGTTTATCTTTGGCTAAAAATGTAGCACTTTGGTAAGTGATGTTGATAACGGCTAGGCTCTGCATGAGGGTGGGCGGTATATGTGAAATCTCTGTACTTTCCTCTAAATTTTGTTGTAAACCTAACACTGCTCTAAAAAAATAACAAAGCCTTAAAAAATAAATGGTATGACAATTTTAAATATACAATATGTGTTCTTGTTTTGTTTTGTCTGATGTGTGTGGGTTTTTTTTTTTTTTTAATGTTGTTTATGTCCTTTCAACATCAAGATGTTCCAAATCTTTCTTGAAAGCAGGCATGGCAGGGCATGCAGGGTGTGAAAATATTGAAAAGCTTTTATGCCAATTGATAGATAGCTGTTGCCCAAAATCTCTGAGTACCAGCCACGAGGCCAACAGCTCTTCCTATAAGATCTCTTGCCACGCTTTCACCAGTCTATCTAAAGGGTAATGCCTGATACATCAGGAGGCTTTCAGCCCCAACTCCCCACCCCAGGCCCCCGTCCAAGATGGCCATCCATTCTGATTGGCCCCATATCCTACTGATTATACCCTTGAGATAGGTCATAGGTAATAAATACTTAAGTAGATAATCCCCCATTGAGTATGTTCGTTCATTGGGTATAAGATGGATTATAGGACTTCAAAAGTTCTGGATTATGTCTCAGTTGATCCAAGTAGGTAATGGCCTTGTGAAATAACAGGAAAGCTTAATTGTGAGTTTTTATTAAGAGGCCCTCAGAGATTGAGCAAAAGGCCTTGGAGCTCAGGGCTACATTAGAAAGGATCCCAATAACTACTCACCAGATGCCCAAGAAAATCATTACTGACTTTCACTGCTCCAGAGCCCTGTTCAAGTGAGCTGAGGGACAGTGAGCAATTTAACATTTTTTCTACGTATTTTTAAATTTTGAAATAATAAAATTAATTAGGAAAGCGTTTGCAACAAAAAGGAGGATAATAGAAACATATATTCTCTCCTTTCCTGGAGCAAACCTTGCAATCATGTCTGGAGCAGGGGGAGATGCTCTAAAATTTTTACTGCCGTCTTTTCATTCCTAGACCTGTTACGTGGGATGAGGGGGGAGGGGCCATTTTATTTTTTTATTTTTTATTTTAAAGACTTTTTTTTATTTGTTTGATTTTTGGGAGGATGGGGGGAAGGGAGAAACAGAAGAAGAGGGAGAGAGAATCTCCAGCAGACTTGTGCTGAGTGTGGAGCAGGGCTCTATCTCACAACCCTTAGATCATGACCTGAACTGAAATCAAGAGTCAGACACTTAACCAACCGAGCCACCCAGCTGCCCCCGGGGAGGTCCATTTTAAAAATAATATGTAGCAAGTTAAAGAAAACAGTGGATCTAAAGCTTTGTGCTGAGAGAGGAAGTCCAGAGCAGACGGCTCTTTTGCTCAGCAAAATCCCCAAATAGGGCTTTTTGGTTTACAAAGGGGAGGTATCAAATGGTCTCAGACACAAGCCCCAAAACCCAGAGAGAGGGGGAGGGAGAGACAATACAGAAAGGAAGGATTGAGGAAGAAAAAGTAAAATTGTTTTTTAAGGCTAAGTAATGAGAATGTGGAACTTTTGAATGACCACCTGGGAAGGAAGGAAAGGAGGAACAGAGAAACATCTTGGAACAGAGATCTGGCCCCCATCCCGGTCAAGCAGATCAAATCCTAATGAAAAATCATCAGTGAGGGAATTCTGGGGAGACATTTCAAGAGTAGTGACAGGTACTATTTGTGGAGCTGGCAAACAGAAACAGCTTTTCCAGTACTTTTATGAAAATAGGGAATATAAAAAAATTAAAAAAATTAAAAATTAAAATAAAATAAAAATAAAAACAGGAAAAAAAGATGGGACAGTAGCTGGAAAAAGATGTCAGGCAACAGGGAGGGTTTTTGTAAAGGGTAATATTACCGTATATTTCTACACCGATAGAAATGGTCCAACAGGAAGAAAAAGAAATAAAAATGGAAGATCATTCATGGCAGGAGCAAAATCCTTAGGTAGAGGAGAGAAGATGGGATCCAGTGCATAAGGTTTGCCCTTAGACGGAGACTGAGTTTAGCCCCTGCAACAAGACAGAGGGCAGAGAATCTGGTACAGGTACTGGTAACTTGACAGATTTGGTCATGGGAAGATTTTTTATTTTATTTGTTTTTTTAAAGATTTATTTAGAGAGAGAATGCACGAGTGGGAGGGAGGAGCAGAGGGAGAGGGAGAGAGAGAGAATCCCCAGCACGCTCCCCACTGGGGCTCAATCCCCAGACCCTGAGATCACAACCTGTGCGGAAATCAAGAGTCGTCCGCTTAACCAACTGAGCCATCCAGGCGCCCAATGGGAAGGTCTTTAAAAGGTCTTTTCTATTTTCTCGGTGCAATAGGAGCAGGATGATCAGGTGAGAGTGAAGGGAGAGAAGGTGGCTTGAGGACGGTTGAGAAGAGAAGTAGCCACCTTGGAGAGGAGAGGAGTGTCTAAATTAGAGAAATATGGTAAGCCTGCCAGGCAGAGCTGAGGGCTCATGTGATGGTTCTCTGGACCATTCTATGAAAAATACTGCAGTCGGTTGAGGCGAAAGCATTTGAGAGTAGAACAAGGGAGAGGCGACCTGAGTTACCTGGATAACTGTGTACCCTTTCCAACCCACAGCCATGAAATGACATGTTCCACGCATTTGGGTTTCTTAACCAGCTAACATAACTAAAAGTAAGCTACCGCGCCGCAGCAACAGAGGGAAAAACTTCGGTCACTTTATTTTTCCACTTCCGTTATGTTCCTTGGACAAACACTGATTCAAGTGTGGCATTGAATTTTGAATCTGAAAACCGGTTTAGCATGGCTTTACATCTGATGCATCGGTTTTCCAGAAAGCCAGAGAGTTGCGTTCTGTTTGGGAAGAAAAAGATAAGACTCTAAGAGAAATGATCATTTCTTAAATTTGCTAAGTAGCTAAGCCAAATCAAATACATTTTACCAACGTGTGGGAAAATTTAATTATACGAATAAAACCGTTGACTGTAAAGTTTAAGTGATAGGAGAAAACATCAGGGAAGTGATAAGGCACTCATTTCCAAGAGAGAAAATAAAAGGTTCTGTATAATTCTGATAGTCAAGATTAAAAGGAAAAAAAAAAAGCCTGTATCAGCCTTTTATTTATCCCCCGATGCACTAACAGTGCCACATCTGTCTGAAGACTATAAGGTACAATAGCCTGAAGAAATTCATCAACAAAACTCTGTTTGGTTTTTTAAATTATCCTCTTCTAATATTTTGTGTACTGATTTGTAGGAGGCTACATGTCCTCTGTCAATTTCAGTATTTAACATCTGCCCAGGGGTCTGCTATATTTTGAACACTAACAATTTACCCAGTGCATTTCTAACCATTAGTGATTATAATAACTGTCATTGTTTGAGCACCTC